CGCTTAAGTTGAAATCCGGCTCACCTGGAGCTTTTCTATGTCTATATTTTTTTAATATTAAATAGCTTTTCTATATTTTAAAGATAAAGATAATTTTCAAAATTTCAAATTAAGTACTATTTACAAATAATTTTTATGAATCACAAGAAAAAATATTCTTAGAATAAAAAATTATTATCAATAAATGTCAATTGAAAATAATATATGCGTTAATAATATCAATGAAATAATTTGTTTATGTCGTTTTTTTTCACTAAAAATATATATTTTTTTATAATTTATTATTTTAAAATTGTAAACAATTTTTACAATTTCAACATATTATTGTTGTATAACGCGTGATAACCATTTATCATGTATTTTAAATAAGACGTGACTAAAAAAAAAAACAAATTAAAAAGAAAAATTACAAAAATAATTTAAGAGTAAAGTCTACATATTTTTATGTATCTAATGTTATATCAAAAGGCGTCGTCTTTCTTATTTTCGATGATAACTTTGCTTTCTGATAATGATATAACTAAGATTTTATATTGGGGAGAGTTTTATAATAAATGATAGTCTTACTGAACTATATTGAACCTCTTTTTTTAATCATCAGTTTATTTTCAAGATAAATATTTTGGCTTATAGGAGTAGGTATTGCTCTATATATATTTCTAGCTAAGAGGACTCTCTTAGCTTCGTCACTTTTCTCTGAGTATTTATTGATATGGGTAGTGGCTAAAATCATAACGAATTCACACAAAATGAATTGAACAAAAGTGTAATAAAAAGCAATCGCTCATTTAGCAGTATTTAGAAAAATATATTTTGTCTTTGTAATTGTACTAAATTAATTAATAGCTCGTATATTTTTTAAAGTTCGTACAGACATTTTTTAAGCAGAATCATATTTCAGTCTAGACAAACAAAGTAGTACGTGGTCTATGACTTAAGCATTAGATTACTCATAAAAGACAAGTCAACAGAACAGTTTTCTTTATTTGATCATATTATATTACATTAAAAGCGCATTAATTTGAAATATTTTAGAATAATGCCAGCACCATCTGTTATTATGGAATTAAATATAAAATCAGACATTTCTATCAAAAGTTATATGATTTTGGCTTTAACTCCTAGAAATCCTAGAAATTGTATTTCGTACAGTTTTTCTTTTTTCGTCTTTAAGTATATTGTATTAGTTTTAATTTGATGGGAGTTTAGGGGTAAGTAAGGCAAGTTAACGCTTGGGGCAATATGATCTTTCTTTTAAAAAAATGTTGGTAATGTTTGCAAACTGTTTATTGAAATAATTTTAAATATACTAACCATACAATGACTAATTTTTCGAATATAAATCGAATGATCACATGTGTTTGGATTACGTATGTTACTAAAACATATGTATACCTTTTTTGCAAGTTTGCGATATAATATTGATGTTTAACGACGCAAAATATTAATTTGAGCATAAATAAATAAATGATTTTTATTGCAATACCTAAAGAAAAACATTACCAATAATAAGTACTTAAAATTATAAGTCCTATTCAAATTAACGGAGTACTAGGAGATAATTTTTAAATAACAAAGAAAATTATGAAGGTTGGATTTTTCGATATTTGTACAAGAAATTTCTACATATAAAATAACTTTTTTATAATTAGTTGAACTAGCTCAGTTACTAAATAAATTAACTTAGTAACTGTCCATTAATATAACTTAGGGGTAATCAGGTCGATTTTCCCTTTTAAATAATTTATACTCCAATTTTTCTTTTTTCTTTTTAATTACTCGATAGATCAATTAAAAATTGTAGATACATTCAAAATTTCTTAAGGGATCAGGATAAAAATCTCTCTTAATTGGGAAATCAGGTTTGTTAAAAAACATGTTTTTAAATAAAAAACAATAGTAATAATTGCATTATTATTTTAAGGTAAAAACAAAAGGGGATATTAATTAGTTTTTTTAATATTATTATTTAAAAGCCTTATACGAAGTGCAAACCATGAGTTGATTTCTATTAATATAGAAATGTTTAGAAATAAAATACAATTCAAAAATTATTTTATTTAAAAATATATAAATAATGCCTGTGTAGTTATAATAAAAGATATATGTATAACTGGAAACTTTCGTTGACTTTTGTGCGTGCGACGTTTTTATGAAAAAATATCATGCAATTAATTAGATAAATTTACAAGAGCATTTAATGCGCTTAATGGGATTTAGGAGTAGTGAGAGGGGTGAAAAAAATTAGTATTTTAAATATTTTTATTTTTTACAGTATTCTGTTTTAACTTAATTTGAAAAAAAAAAGTTGTAGATCAAGTTATGGCTATATTTGTTGGACACCCTCTCAAGTTATGCCTTGCGGTGACCATCATACAATTTCACTGGTTCATATAAAATCAATCATACAAAAAAAAAAAAAAAAA